AGCTCGCCAAAGTTGTCCTCAACTAAGAGCGCGCAAATCTCCGCTGCGTACTGTGTTAAACGTTTGTTAGCACGAGGATAGAGCTAACAATGGAGCGTTGTCGCATACTTGAGAAGCCATGTTTGAAGAGGTTGTCTAGAGAACCACCGCCGTCAATTCTCCAGGGCAAAGATCGAGGTCACCGGGGGAAAAGCATGAGGCACTTGTAAAGGGAGAAGAAGGCCTTTCAAATTGTCACTCTTGAGGAATTTCTTTTTTTTCCCTTGACAATTGATTGGCGTTACTTCTTATCGCACGTCGCCGGCGGAAGAAACTCACGTGCAGTCGTAAGAAGAGTAAGTCACATGACCTCAGCTGACTCGGAGGAGGAGGAAAAGCCGGTTCCGCCCGCACACCCAATTCAGGCCAATCAGAGTACGAGTAATCAACAACGCCGGCATCTTGAAGCTTTTCAGACATCGTTTCTAACCCGTTCAACGACCGCCAGCAGCTCTCCTCGGCTCTTCTACCTTCCCACCCCCTTCAATTGCTGTTGAGCCTCTCGGCTTCATATCTACCTTCCTCCCTTTGTATCTTCAACACATGCGATAATGCTGTCGCGATCCACCATCAGCCGAAATGCGCCCCGTGCGCTTCACAAGCAGTGCTCTGCTGCCGGTGCCACCAGCCGTCGAGGCATGGCATCTGCCGCTACTCCTGGCCTCCAGTATGATGTGTCCGAGTCTGCTGGTGTGAAGGTCGCCAACAGAGAGGTTGCCGGTCCTACCGGCACCCTGGCCCTCGTTTCCAAGGCCGGTACTCGCTACCAGCCCTTCCCTGGCTTCTCCGATGCTCTCGAACAGTTCGCTTTCAAGGTTAGCACTCCCGGCTTAATTGCTCGCTCTGCAGGTCTCAGGCACACTATCTTGGACATAGTGAACTGACGCTTGCTTGCAACGACTAGTCCACACTCAAACGCTCGGCGCTGCGGATCAATCGGGAGGTCGAACTGCTGGGCAGTGAGGTTTCCGCTACACACTCGCGTGAGAATGTTGTCCTCAAGGCTAAGTTTCTTGCCAATGACCTCCCCTACTTCGTCGAACTTTTGGCGGAGGTTGCTTCCCAGACCAAGTTCTCCGGTATGTCATCCCGCTAAGCTTCAATTTGTCGGTCAGACAAGTCTGATATATGGTTATTTCTTTTGCGCTATTAGCCCACGAGTTGAGCGAGGTCATCCTCAAGACCCTCAAGTACAGACAACAAGCTCTTGCCGCCAACCCCGAGGCTGTGGCTATTGATGCTGCTCACGCCGTGGCTTTCCACCGCGGTCTGGGTGAGAGCGTCTCCCCCTCGGTTACCACTGCTTTCGAGAAGTACATCTCTGCTGAGGCCGTCGCGGAATTCGCCCAGCAGGCGTTCGCTAAGTCCAACATTGCCATCGTCGGCAGTGGCCCCAACTCTGCGGAGGTTTCCAAGTGGGTTAGCCAGTTCTTCAAGGAGGCTCCCAGCGCTGGTAGCTCCTCCAAGTACCAGCTCCAGCAGAGCGCCGCCTCCCAGTACTACGGTGGCGAGCAGCGCATCTCCTCCAAGGCTGGAAATGCTGTCGTCGTGGCTTTCCCCGGCTCTGGCACCTTCGGCACCTCTGCCTACAAGCCCGAGGCTTCCGTTCTCGCTGCCCTTCTTGGCGGTGAGTCCACTATCAAGTGGACCCCCGGTTTCTCTCTTCTCGGCCAGGCCACCCAGGGCTTCTCCCACGTCCGTGCCTCGACCAAGAACCTCGCCTACTCGGATGCCGGTCTATTCACCATTTCCCTCTCTGGCAAGGCCGAGCAGATCAGCTCCGCTGGCAAGAGCGCCGTCGATGTCCTGAAGAAGGCCGCTGCTGGCGAATTTGCCAGCGAAGACGTCAAGAAGGCCGTTGCTCTGGCTAAGTTCCGTGCTCTTGAGTCCGCTCAGAACCTCGAGACTGGTCTCGAGGCTACTGGCTCCGCTCTCATTAACGGCAGCAAGCCCTACCAGATCTCCGAGGTCGCCCAGAGCATTGACGCCGTCACCGAGGCCCAGGTTAAGGAGGTATGTTCACTTTCCCAAAATATCGTCCATACGGCAGCAAATCACTAACCGCGTTACCTTACCCTTTAGGTTGCCAAGTCCTTCCTGTCTGGCAAGGCTTCCGTTACCGCCGTCGGCGACCTCTTCCAGCTTCCCTACGCCCAGGACCTTGGCTTGACCGTTTAATCATGTATACAACAAATACATCCTAGACTGGTTCTGCTTTTGGAGGAAAAGCGCGTCTTCCGTTTCCGTTCATCTTGTGTCTAGATCATCCCTTCCGCAGATATCTTGTTTTTCATTTGGGATGATGTGGCTGTAGTGGTGTGCGTCTGTAATACAATTGTATCTTATTATTACATTGCGTGCCTTATGCGGTGAGATCTTGGCCCAGATGAGTGTGTATAGACGATCATATATCTACGATTGAAGTCGCCAGCTTTGGTTTGTAGCAACAGTCCATAAATAATGTAGGTCTCACGCACATGTTACGCACACTATACTTCCGAGTTTCACGCAAGCGTTTGCATGGGCTGACTGCATGGGCTGACTATGAAGCTAGAAGTGGTGTCAATCTTCAAGATAGTGGAAGACTAGAGTCAATCTACCCTTGCTGGAAGACCTATCCGTATTCTTCAATCTGGTCTCAAACGGGTTGTGGCTTGATGAGGTCAGCCTTACACAGCAGGGTAGGTGCACCAAAAATCATTCCAATCTCCAAAGAGACCCGAATAAGATTTGTTCGGGCATGTTATGCTCATGGATAGTACTCTTCGTTTCGTTTCTTCGTTTACGGTCAAAGGCAATCGCTAGTTGTAATCGGCGCTTTCCCGAGGTTCACAAGGACGAAAATCACAAAGTATATCTATGTCTAACACTTGTCATTCAGAGGCTGTACCGAGCAGAATGACCTTTTTGACACAGCAGAGAGCTGGTCTCAGTCCATGTCAGCAATTTGACAAGGAGTTTAGTATCGCGGGAGAAATATTTCCAGGACACTCCAAATCCTTTGTGAACTGAAGCCTACCTGCCCAGCCCGCGAGCACTTATGAGACGCCCCGATAAGTAGAGGGTGGATCTTTTGACCAGGTCTCAGGCAAATCGGCCAACAAAACCATGTGCTGCAACTGTAATACGTACGAGACAAAAATTTGGTCCTAACATATAGAGCGCAGGATAAGTTATACAACTCGCGCCAAATTTGCATCTGCCAATCTTGGCCAACGAGCCATCAACATGCGCAGGTCTATTAACACTAGTATAGTAAATAAAATGCTTGTAACATCTGTTGTGCGGCATGCTCAGCACGTCGCTTTACCTCGGTCCATCAACGGTGCGGTCTGAGAGGACAGCAAACTGACCGGGCCAGCATGTGTTCTTGCCGCCTCCGACCGTGTGCATGGCAGAAGGGTATCTCAAACCTTCCCTAGTGCTTTGCGGTGACAGCTTCGCCCGTCAGTTTTTCGACTGCCTCCTTGGCCCTGTTCGGTGCAACGGAGACCCACACGTTAGCCGGAAGTCTTCCCTCGGTAATACCGCAAAATCACATGGCGAGTCCGGGGTGCGCCGATCCAGCCGGGCTAGCCCACCCTGGTGGCATCGCTCATTCGATGGATGGTTTCGAAGTATGCGAACAACCCGGAATTGCAAGGGCAAAAAGGCGGGGAACGGGGTTCAACTTACATGTCACCCAGAGCCACCATGCAGACGGTCTGCCAGATTCCCAGCCCCACCCGAGGAGCCACACCACGGTAGAGACCTTTGATGCCGTTGTTCTCATAGATGTACTTAGCAGCCTTGCCAACCGTCAGATTCTTTGGGCGGTTGGGATCGTCGGTCTTGCTCTGCATTTCGACACGGATCACCTCGATGGGCTGATTCCAAGCCGACAAACCACCACCCAGACTCGAAGCCAGAATCTTCTCGAAAGCGTTCAGCTTCTGGCTGTCATCCTTGTTTGTTACCTTGCGGATTGTCTGCTCCGCCAAGCGAGAGAACCCGAAACGGGAACCCCAGTTGGTGGTCTGGCGAATTGCGACCGCATTGACACCACGGTTGATACCACGGATACCTTCCTTGCGGTAGATGTCCATGAAAGTCGCGAAGGTGCTGGGAGGCTTGACACCCTGCGCAGCCATCTTGTGCTTGGTGATCTCAACCGTCTTCATGCAGGTACAGAATCCCATTGTTGCATAGGCTTGAGCAATACCGCCAACCATACCACCAGCGATTCCGGCCATGAAATCGGGGGCACCAAGGACCTTGGCGCGGAATTCAGCTTCCGACGCGACAAAGAGTAGGACAGCGCCTTTGGTGGAGGCCTCAATCCAGGCCCACGGAATGAGACCTTGATAATCTATTGTAACTTCACGTCAGACACGGCATCCGACACGCTAGTCACGAGAAACCCAAGGCGAGAGAAACTTACAACCGAGGATCCCGCCACGACCCCAAATCCGACCCATAGCACCGGCGAAGCTATCGCCTCGGTTTGCAGCCATGGTTGTCTTGATCACCTCCAGCGGCTAGATTTATGAACCGTGTTAGCTGAACGGACATTCACCGGCCCTGCGGCTTCACATACCTGTCCCAAGGTTGTGACCCTATTGCTGGCTGTTAGTCATCCAGAATTTAGTGTGATGGTGTCATGGGGGGGGGTGTAATACGTACTCGAACAAGTTCAAACCTGCACCGACTATAGACAGAGCCATCAGAATCATGGATATTGGCCGGTAGAGACGAATGAGGGCTCGAATACGTACGCAATAGATTGCTGAATTTGACAGGCTTCTTCTCAAGCGTTTGGCCGGCAGGGGCCGTTGCAACAGGAGCGGGAGACATCTCTGAACTTGGGGAGCGCTGAAAGGGGCCCTGACCAAGGGATATAAGGGGCTTCGTCGCCTAAAGGATCGCAAAAGATGGCAGAGAAACTGCAGATGGGAATGTCCAGTCACAAATAGGTGGACTTGTCGGTTTGGTCGCTGTTGAACACCAGGAAAGTTCCGGAACGTTAGTCACCACAGAGCACTGATTGATGGAAGGAGAAGAGAAGAGAAGAGAGCAGGAACGGGAAGAAGGCAAGCAAGCTAGAACGGGGGATGGGTGAAAAGCGGAAAGAAAGCAGAGTGGAAAAAGAAAGAGGAGGAGGAGGATGGGAAAGCATGATGTTGGTCTGGGGGCTTGCAGCTGAGTATTTGCTTATCAAGTTTCAGACAAGTTCCATAGCCAGCCAGCCAGCCATATCTTGCTAACTAGATGGATAGATGGATGGATGGATGGATGGACGGATGGATGGATAAGAAGGTGATGTTGATGTTTCACACGTACTATAGTAGATTGAGGTGTCGGGTAGACCAAGATGGAATAGTAACACCAAAGTCGGAAGGTTCTTTTTGTTCTGGGTTTTTGAAAGTCAAGAAAAAGAAGACGAAGAAAGTTGTTGTTGTTATGTATTTTTTTTCTCCCTTTCAATAGTTCAGGGAAGGAGGCCCAGGCTACTACTAGGTAGAGACTCAGAGACTCAAGAGAGCGATCCGTACCAAGGAGTACCCCGTAGTAATGAGCACACATTAGCCTGGAGGCAGGAGCTCGGAGTCAGACTCGTCTTCCCGATCGCTGGGCAGCGGCTGGATGGAGCAAAACACCCCGGAAGACCCAGTCACTTGCGGGTCATTGGCTCATCATCAGTAATGTTGCTAGCCTGATCAAGGTAAAACCATACGCTAGCCATGAAGGGAGTCTCCAGCAGTTGAGCACCGGAGTAAATCGGGGCGCTGAGTACCTCAACCGTTGGGGGGGGGGAAAGGCTGCGGCGGGTTCAACTCGCTTCTTCCCGTTTCGGTCCACGGAGTAATGCACTACCACCACCGCTACCACCACCACCTTGCCTAACGACGGAGTCCACTGGAGTAAACTTGTAACTTAGTACGTACAGTACAACCCCGGGCCTGGCCCAGGGCTGGTGGTTTCCATTGTCAATTTCTTGACTGACAACACTCTGCACTCTATCATCCCGAGGTCTGTCTTCCTTCCCGGAGTACTCCGTCCAGAGTAAATCCAATTTAAAGAGGCGCATCCTTCACTGCGAGTCATGATGGAGTATGCCTGTCTACTTCACACCAGCCGCGCTCACCCTTCAGTCTACCTACTTAGGTGGATAGAGCCCATTCCATCTCAAAGCCCGTGTACAACATGGCACGCAGATTAGGTGAAGAGAGTGAGGAAAACAAACAGATTAGAGAGGGAAATAAGAAAAAGGAAGAAAGATAGGAAGAAAGGCAGGAATGCAACCGGAATGTCTTTGGAAATTGACTGATCATGTTAAAAGTGTTGTTACTAGGCTCACTCGAACCATGTCCTATCATACATTAATCGAGCCAACCCCAACACTTGGCAAATCCCAGGCAAAAAGAAAAAAAGAGGGATAATCCAAGAATAAGATAGGCATAATACAAAGTATAAAGTGTTTATTCGTAACAAAAACTCCACATCCTCCGGGGGGGTTTCATATCATTGACAAATCTACAGCTTAGCACCGACAAGCTTGGCGTAGGCCTCGGTGCTGAAACTCTTGGGGCGCTCGATGGGGGCACCAAGAGCACGGTCAATGATCAGCTGGGGCAAGACACCCAGAGCACGGGAGACACCGAAGAGAACGGTGTAGTAGTTGGCCTCAGTCAGGCCGTAGTACTGGAGGAGGACACCGGAGTGCTAGAGACGAGTTAGTATACTGATTTCGCGAAATAGATCCCAGGAGTCTCCGCAGCGGTAAACTTACAGCATCGACGTTGGGGTAAGGGTTCTTGGTCTTGCCGTGTTCAGTCAGAACACCAGGAGCGATCTTATAGACCTGGCTGACCAGCTTGAACATAGGGTCATCGGGGAGCTTGCGAAGGGCAAACTCGCGCTGAGACACGTAGCGAGGATCGGTCTTACGGAGAACAGCGTGACCGTAGCCAGGAACAACCTGGCCGGCGTTCAAGGTAGACCAGAGGTAGTCCTTGATAGCCTGGTCGCTAAGGTCGTTGCCAATGGCAGCCTTCATCTTGGTGAGCCAGTTGAGCACTTCCTGGTTGGCCCTATGTACAGTATCACCATGTTAGAGGCATTTGAGGACTGGGAATTGAAAGGGAAGGGTGGGAGCGAGATCTTACAATCCGTGGAGGGGACCAGCCAGACCGTTCAGACCGGCAGCCAAGGAAAGCATGGGAGAGCTGAGAGCACTGCCAACAAGGTGGGTGGTGTGGGCGCTAACATTACCACCCTCGTGGTCAGAGTGAATGGTCAGGTAGAGGCGCATCAACTCAACAAAGTCCTTGTTGTCGCCGTAACCGAGCTGGTTGGCCAAGTTGAAGGAGTAATCCTTGTCCTTCTGGATAGCAGCAACCTTGCCATCCTTGAAGACATTGCGGTAGATCTTGGCAGCAATGGTGGGGAGCTTCGCAATGAGGTCCATGGAGTCCTCGAAAGTGTAGTTCCAGTAGTCCTTCTTGTTGAGACCCTTGGCATAGGCCTTGGCGAAAGCAGACTCGTGCTCAAGAGCGGTGACGGCCAGGGAGAACTGAGCCATGGGGTGCAGAGTGCTGGGGCAGCGGTCGATCAACTCCTCGATGAACTTAGGAAGGTCGGAACGAGCAGCCCACTCAGCAGACAGGTCGCGGACCTGCTGCTCAGTGGGGATCTCGCCGGTGAGGAGGAGCCAGAAAAGACCTTGATAAACCGTTAGGGCAAATGACCATGGTCGGTTTCGCCAACAGAACACTTACCTTCAGGAAGAGGCTCCTGGCCGCCGGGGGCCTTGGGAAGAAGTTCCTGGCACTCGGGAATCTAGCAGATTGTAAGCATTTGCCCGAGGCCGCGATGACAGCCATGTTATACTCACGGTGCGACCACGGAAACGGATACCCTCCTCCGAGTCGAGAACAGATCCCTAAACGAGTGTATTAGCCAGGTCCCGCCAGGAGGGTGTCGTTTACGTGTAGACTACTGACCTCCCAAACAAGGGACTTGACACCACGGGCGCCACCGTAGACCTGGTCAAGGGTGACCTCGCCGATGACCTTGTTGCCGTGCTCCCTGTAGCAATAGACCAAAGGTGATTAGCAATCCGACCGAGCCAAGGGCAATCGAGTCAGTCGTACTTGCGAAGCTTCTTGACTTTCTCGAGCTCAGCGGGGAGCTTCTCGGCGAAGGTCTCCTTAAGGGACTGGAAGGCGTATTTGAATCAGTACAGCTGAGCATGGCAGCAACGGATGTCAGAAGCGCGACGGACCTTGGCCTTGCCGGTAGAGTAGCAGCGCAAGCCGTTGAAGGCAGCGGACTGAACAACGGGCTTAGCAGCCATGCCGCTGGAGCGAAGAGCAGAGGTTCCAAGTCTCAGGGTGGAAGCCATTGTGAGAAAGACAAGTTGATCACGAGTCGAAGGGTGATAATGTAGGAGAGGAGAGGGAAAGGGAGGGGGTATAATTCACACAGCGGTAGAGAAAAGAAAAAGAAGGAAGAGAAGGAGATAGAGAGACAGAGTCGGGAGAAGAAGCTCTTTTGCGGGCCTTTTTTTCCATCTGGCCGTAACACTCCTACAGCCGGTACGCGGATTGTACGGTAACACCCGGCAACAGAGCAAGGCAGAGGGAGAAGTGGACCGTACCATACGGTCACGCTAGTTTCGAGGCGGCCGGTGTCCCGAGTTTGGGGCTTGAGGGGATGGGCGCGGTTGACTGCGGCAAGCTTACCAGAATGGATGTTATGCTCATACTCCGTTGTCCGGGACGGACTAAGGACGGAGGATACTAACTAATAGGTAAGGTAGGTAGGTTGAATTCTTACCCAGCCTGTTTTGTTCATGCATCATGGCTGCAGGCCAACATTGTTAGTAACTACGTACAGTACCTATTTACTAACTTAGCCCTGGGGTAACTCATGGCAAACTGTTAGCGAAGGCTTCCGTCAGATAGTGCAGTTGGTTAAACAATTTTCAGACAAAATTCAATACATTCAACTCATCTTTTGTTCATGAAGTCGCTTGGACTAAAGTCCTGTGGGATTCGGAGTGTATTCAATAATCTTTTTTTTCTTTTCCGACGATCTTCGGCACCCGGTCCATCCGTAAACGGAGTGCCTACAAATGGAGCTGGTGTGGCCCATTGCACCCCCTCGCTGTGACGTCGGCAGTCGCCATCCTCCTCCTATAGCACAGACTAATAGACTAATAGGCCGCCCAAGCTTCACAGTAAACGGGGTTCCCCATTCTTTTCTCTCGCCCTTAAGTACGGAGTACTGTACTGTACTATCAAAAGTGTGGAAGAGACACTACCTAATGCACGCACCCCCCTCGCCCCGTGCATTCATGATGGCATTTAGACGTAAGACCGAGGCATGAGATAGACGCCTACAATACCAATCGATCTTATGCATATACTAACTACTGCACAGCACTGTAATTTAAATCTTTACCTCCAAGGCTTACCACCATAGTAGATACTTGTACTCTGTAGCTTTCAACAATCATCAACAAGAATACAAAGATTATTTATAGTAGTTATATAGGCGTGGCATGGAAAAGTCCAATCGAAACTTTGATTTTACCTTAACTTTACTGCTACATTGTTCTTCCCATGAGCACCTAGAAGGTCAATTCAGTCTCAACCTAAACTCATTTGGAGCTGGCAGCAACCTGCCTCAAGGCATGTTACCAGATTCGACTCACCGAGGCTCCAAGCAGAATTGAGACGCAGTTTCAGCTGCTATGCCAAGCCAGGAAAGGGGGCAATACACGTGACTATGTATTGCTTCAATGAAGCCTGGAGAATAAGGCATTGTATCTATGCACAGCCATTCACGGTTATCTCATCTCCCGCTGCCAGGTGTGAATTGAAATGGAGAGAGAGGTGCTCCATATGTGTTACCCAATAGAGACTAGCCTAAGCGGTCTGATTTTTCTCCTCACCTGACTGAGCACTGCAAATTGAATCTCCTTCCGTCCCTATTCTTATTCCAAGTTTCTGAACGGCCATTTCCTTCATATCCAACCTTTCTCACTCCCTTCTTCCATCACCATATTCATCACTCATCGCAGTATTCAGACACTGTAATCCTCGTCACAGTCTCAACAACGGTTTCCAGTTGACCTAGCACACTAGGGTATACTGTACACACTCGTTCGCGAGTCGCAAGGCCCTGGACAGCATCGCTTGACCGTGTTCCAGCTGTAGGCGAAAGGCCTCCCTTGGTCGCCAGAGTACGCTTTTGAAGTCTGTAGTGACACGACCTGAAGCCCGCTTAGGAAACCACTTATTGCTCTACTACCAGGAGCCCACCATTCTACCAGGTCACTGGTATTCCCCATTAAAACATCACAAGATTTTTAACTGCAGCTGGAATTCCCAGTAGATCGATTGGCTGGAAGCACAGTGCGATTATCGCCTCTCTGTACGAAGTCCACCGCTACACTCTGAAGAAAGCGATAGTTTTTCCAAAAAGAAGTCCTTTGGCTGTATCCTGTTCTCTGCGTACTGGGCTCGGAATTTCAGCACTCCATACCCACCAGCCATGTCGTCTGCTGTAGCAGAACTGGATAACTATCTCCAGTCGATGCTGGCACTCAAGCCACCGGGCGTTTCTGGATCCAAAATCAACAGTATCACATCGCTCTGCACAGCCAACGTCCAGGTATTTCACCCTCCATACGTTGTATTCTACTCGGATCGGAGGCTAACATCTCTCATTTTTACTCTCCCACAGAATGAATCCGTCCTCATCCAAAAGATCTACACTCATTTCAAGAAAGCACCAGGAACACACAAGTTGGGCGTACTCTATGTCGTAGACTCTGTAACTCGACAGTGGGTAGAACAAGCGCGCAAGGCAGGGCAACCATCTGGTAGTGCTGCCCCTGATGGGACCTTCGCCGCTGGTGTTAACAGAGTGACCGAGCTGCTTCCTATCCTGATGACTGATATCATAAGCAACGCTCCCGACGATCAGAAGGTACGCTCTAGATGCTATATGCAAACCATAATCGGAATCATCACAGGGCCGCAGGCAAGCATAGGGCCGATAGGATGCTGTCTTCTGCTTAGGAGACCGCATTCAGATCTGCTTGAGAATCGATCAACGTATCTCCTGTATATTCCTCGACTATCATGGCATAAAGTCCTAGGCCACTATGCTTGCCCGGTCTCGTTGTCTCAGCCTTCTCTTCCTCTTTGCATCGTTTCCCGGTGACGAACAATTAACTCACGTATTTCTCCGTTCAATATAGGAAAAGATAAAGAAGCTGGTCGACATCTGGGAACGCGGATATACCTTTCCTGCCCCTATGCTTGCTTCATTCAAGGAAAAGCTCAACGCTCCTCCATCGCAAAGTAAGACTACCCAAAGCCTTTCTATCTTTTGAGCCCAGGCTACTCTGCCTCGGGAGTGCTATGTCCTCTCGGCCAAGGTTCCTGATGAGACTCATCGGCTAACTTCCGCTCAATTTTGCGTCACTCTTTAGATGTCGAATCTACTACTCCCGAAGGCTCCCCAGCACCCAACTACCTCTCTTTGGGAGGTGCTCATCAGCCTACCAATGGCACGATTTCATCCACTCCTGCTCAGCAGACGCCCGACACTTCCAGTATCCTGAAGGCTCTGGCGGATATGGCTAAACAGAACACTGCTGCACCTGCTGCACCTGCAGTCGCGGCGCCCGCCAACCCTCTCAATGCCTTAAGCCAGCCAGGTACGGTTTTGCAGACCATGCCGTCCTCTGTAGACCAGGCATCACAACCCTCAAGCGGGCAGGCTGGTGTAAACCCTTACGCTCCTGGTACCATGGTCACCCCCTTCACAGCTCTGGGTAATCTTGTCCAGAACCCAGCCCTAGTGCCCCCTCAGAACCCAAGTCAGAGCCACACCCCCAATCCCTTGGCGGCGGCGCAAAACCCGCTAGCCGCGCTATTGCCGCAGTCGACTGCAGCGCCAACTCAACCGAATTCGGTAGGACCAGATGCACTGCAGCAGCAGCTTCAGCTCTTGCAGCTCCTGTATGCTCAGGGTATTCCGCAGGAACAGTGGGGCACCGCGCTGCAGATTCTTAGCCTTTCGAATGCCACCAATATGGGCACGATGAACCCGGGCCAGGCTCCTCCGTCGTTTAATCTTGCAGCAGGCCAAAACATCGGCGCTTGGGGCGCCCGCCCGGACTCACAATCACGTGACTACGATCGGGATCGGGACCGCGAATACATGCGGTCGCCGCCAAGCCAGTATGGTCGTCGTCGGTCACACTCTCCAGGCTATGACCGTCGCCGGGAGGCTTCTCCTCCTCGTCGTCGTGACAGTCCTGTTTACGGGGAATATCACGGAGATTCTCCTGGCCGTCGGGGCGGTGATCCTCGTGGTCGACGCGGCAATGAATATCGTCAGCGCAGTCCTCCCGGCCGCAGACGCCGTTCTCCCTCCCCTTCTCGCAAGGATCCTGCTCTGCCCCCTCCTGGGCCCAAATTTATGGAGTGGGATTACTCCATTGGTCAAGGCAACATCAAAGGTTTGTTTCACCATGCTCCCTCTTGCGTTCAACTGGGTGATCCTAATCTTTGCCTGTGTAGTCTTGAGTCGAACCCTCTTCGTGGGCGGTGTCACGTAAGTCAATATTTATTGTTGCAGATTCTTGGCATCGGGAACTTACCAGTCAATAGCTCATCCGAAGCTCACCTTCGTTCTTTGTTCAGCAAGTTTGGTGTAGTTCAGACTTGCATTGTCAACATTGATAAGCGCCATGCTTTCATAAAAATGATCAGTCGTCAAGATGCTGTGAATGCCCGGGATGGAATGGAATCATATAAGTCTGGTGACATGCAGCTCAGAGTAAGTGCTCTCATTGTTATACAAGTGACCTGGCGTTTTCTGGCATGTCCACTAATCATCATCTCTCAGACTCGCTGGGGCGTCGGATTCGGACCCCGTGACTGCAGCGACTATCAAACCGGCATTAGTGTGATTCCCGTCGATCGACTAACCGAGGCGGATCGCAAATGGATGCTCACCGCAGAATACGGTGGCACGGGTGGGAGGCCAATTGAGTCTGGCATGGTCGTAGAGGAGCCGGACATTGAGATCGGTGCTGGTGTTTCCTCCAAAGGTATGTCCCTACTCACTTCCAGATTACTCCCCGTCCCAGTCTTGACTAACCTCCCCCGATAGCGATCAGCAGAAGAATTGCCACCGATACTGGCGGCAAACGCGGCCCTGTCTCCTCCCGCGGGCAGCAGGATCGATTCCGGCGTCCAGACCGTGATGGGCCTCCAGCTGGAATGGGTGCGGGCCCTGCTCCAGACCGAGATGTCAACAATGCAAACAATGTCGGCGTTCCCCCTGCGGTGCCTGGCTTCGGTTTCTCTTTCCCCACGATGGGCATGTTCCCCCCTGGTTTCATGATGGGAGGACCACAAGCTGGACCGTCCGGTGGTGGTTCAGCACAACCTCCCCCTCCAGGTCAATGAGCCAATTAATTCTCTTGTGCAATGTCGAGAATAATGGCAGTGACTGCAGTGACGATGACCTACCTCCTGCTAGCCGTTTCATTTCACTCTTGTTTTGATACCAGTGCTTTTTTCACCTGTTTCCCATATTTCATTTTCAGTTGGCTTTGTCTTGTACAATCAATTCGGCGTAGGAGCTTTTTCCATTTCGGTCATCAAAATCGGGGGGTTGAAACCACTTTCACGTGTCTCTGAGACCAGCCATTCACAATCTGAGATATTCCTGTATTTCAATGCAGAGCCTCGCCAATCCACAGAGCTTCTGATGGGAATTAAACCCTCGCTGTTACTATAGTATTCCGGACTTTGCCATCAGCTTTCGTCATGGTGATTCTATGCTACCGGCTGTTTCTCGCATTCCCATATTTTTGTTGTCACAATCTGGATCAGACGGTTGGGTTTGGTGGTTATTATGTGCCTCGCACTATCCCGTTGTGTCCTTGACTTACATTTTTCTCCATTATCGTCATCTTCTTCTTTCTCTTCGTCCTGCGAATGCTTATTCTTCTGGACTAGGCCTGTTCATACTGGGTCAATGAATTATTCATAAGGGATCGTGCAAAAGTAAGCTCATAGGTACATTCTCTCCTCACGTAGCAAATAGCAATAGATGGACTACAAGATTCCACTTTTAGCAGCTTACCATTTCTCCATACATGAATGTTTAATTGGGCAACTAAGTTGGGTTCTTATATCAGTCACTCGTCGCGCTTTGGGGCTATCAATCGCGAAGACATCAGTGCGGTGCCATTTGAGCTGACCCAGATCCAGTATCCTTCCCGATAGATAGTCTTCTCCCCTTGGCAGTTCATCGAACTCACGTCGAGCAAGATGTCCTCGCTCACAGCGCATTCGCGGCCTTGAAAGATTGCTCAAAATCCGCGATGATGTCGTCAATGTGCTCCGTACCAACAGAAATCCGGATGGCGTCTTCTGTGACCCCAGAGTCAATCCGCTCCTGCTCAGTAAGCTGTTCGTGAGTTGTCGACCAAGGATGAATAGCGAGGGTCTTTGAGTCCCCAACACTATCAGTAGTTGGTTAGCCTAGGTTCTCTTTACTGGCTCAAGGACACGAGGGACTTACTTTGCAAGGTTAGATATCATTTTGAAGCCGTCGACCACCTGACTACCAGCCGCAGCACCCCCCTTCACACCGAATGAAAGAACACCGCCAAATCCTCGGGGAAGGTAACGCTTGGCAGTTTCATGGCTAGGGTGGTCTTCAAGACCTGGATAAGAGACCCAGCTTACATTTTCGTTCTTTTTGAGCCATTTAGCCAGAGTCATGGCATTGGTTGCATGCCTTTCGCTACGCAAGCTGAGGGTCTCAATCCCAAGGAGAAGCTGCTGTGCAGCGAAAGGATTCAGGGCTGGGCCAAGATCACGGAGGATCTCCACCCGCACACGAATGGCAAAAGCAATATTGCCAAAAGTCTCCCAAAACTTCAGGCCATGGTAGCCTTCGGAAGGCTCCACGAACTGGGGGAATCGCGCTGCATGCTTGCCCCAATCGAACTTACCACTGTCAACAACAACACCTGCAATAGTAGTTCCGTGGCCACCAATCCACTTAGTGGCACTGTGTACAACAATATCTGCGCCGTGCTCAATAGGACGACAGTAATAACCGCCGGCCCCGAAAGTGTTGTCGACCTACATCTTCTCTGTTATCATAGTTAATTCGATATCTTGGCTTGAGATGACACTTACCACCAGCGGAACGCCCTTGTCATGGGCTACCTTCGCAATAGCTTCGAAGTCTGGTACATTGTAGCGTGGATTGCCGATGGTCTCAACATAGACAGCCTTGGTCCGATCGTCGATGGCTGCAGCAATTGCCGCTGGGGTGTCCCCTTGAATGAATCTGGTATGGATGCCTAGGCGTGGAAAGAGGACTTTGAACTGGTTGTACGTGCCACCATACAAATTGCTGGTTGCTACAATGTTATCACCTGCATGGGCAAGGGCTGCAATAGTCATGAATTGTGCTGCCTGACCAGATGCGGCTGCCACGGCTGCAGCGCCCCCTTCTAGAGCTGCAATTCGCTTCTCGAAGACATCAACCGTGGGCTGAGAAGGGCGGCGGCGTAGCCATCAGTGACTCCTCATCCGTTTCCAGCGGCGTAAGGGAAGATCAACTACTTACATTCATTATCCGGCTATAGATGTTGCCGAACTCCTTGAGACCAAATAGCCGAGCTCCATGAGCAGAATCATCGAACAAATATGACTATCGATGCTCTGTCAGGACTGATATGAACGAGCAATGTTACGCAGGCATTAAGCAGCTCGACTCACCGTAGTCGCGTAAATGGGCACCGCACGAGCGTTGGTGGTAGGGTCTGGCTCTTGACTAGCACATACACCATCAGTCTCCTTTCAAGCCCAATAGCTTGTTGGTCTTGTGTAGAGGTAGAGTTCATATGGTACCCTGCATGGAGCTGGAGAGTCTCGAAGCGCGGCCGCTTGGACTCTGACATGGTGACCGGGATATGATCTATTGTGCAATTCCGAACGTTTGTGAGGGGAAAAGCAGTGTAGCCAACCTTGCGAGGATTGGGGACAAGCAAACAGCAATAGAGAACGTCCTCGTTGGTAAGATGATTATCATTAGACTAGCTTCAACATTACCGACCGCCCTAATGGTATAGTTGATTGACAATGGCGATGGCGTGATCGGAATGGAGTACAGCAAGGCGGGGAAGGCGAGATCGATCTATGTACTGTACAACGTTTCCTGGGTACTCCGTACAAAGAACGAACAAAACCCCCTCTCGCATTGACAAGGAGTCTGAGGACCTTAAAGAAGGCATGAGCTTGAAACCTTCTTGAAGGATGGATGATGTGTGGAAGATAGTCGTTTTTCAAAACTTCGATGATGAATCAATGTTGGTGATGCATACTGTACAGCAGGACATGTGGAATGGCTGATGTATGTACCATATAATCTAATTGAACTTTACTTGGATCAGATCCCAACATTTAGGTTTATTTAAGTATGATTGACAGGAAGGGAGTGAGTAAACCTGGGGTGTAATGGTGTCATGGTGTAATAGTGTACGGAGTACTGTGCTGTGCTGAGTTCTATGCAGGACAGAAATTAGATATGCTGTAGTTACTATGTACAGTTAGTTTACTCTTTCTCAGAATATCAATACATTAAACAGCTACTTGTAGCTTAAATGACTTTAGGCAACCACATGCTATGGTGGCTGTTTTGAGGCTTGGACAGTCAACTGGTGTGGTCATGTGCCCGGCAGATGTAGAAGGAAATGAGGTCATTGTCTGTTCAATCATGGATGGATGGATTGATGCTTGGCCCGCCTCCCTGTTCATTGCCGTCATCGAAAACAACAGCCACCAATCCTTGTAGGCTCCGGTCTTTTCTTTTTCTTGCTCATTTTCACTTCTTATATCATTGTTAACTTCATCCTTTCCCCCTTTATATAGCATATTCCTTACTAGTCAGTGTCGATTGATCCCACACAATGATGACGATGATGATGTCGGATGCGGTAAGGAGATCCGCTACTTACAATCCCCACCAAGCCCTTTAAAAAATAAGAAAAGTAAAAACAAGAAGAAACACGTTGGACTGCATGCTCCGGGGCTGTCGGGTGTATACAGGTAGACAGGTAGACAGGTAGCTATAAAAGGATTGAGTGAATTACAGCACCAACACCCAATCCCAGTGCTTCTTGGCGAACCTGGCCGGTGATTTGCTCTGTCAATTATGTTTAGTTGTCAAGCCACTTGTGCAACCGCACTGATTTGAAACCACTATATCTGCATACAAATACACCTCTCTTCGTCTGCTACTTTTCTTGTCCCTCAGCATAACTGCATCCGAAGCCTATCCGTCTCTACTAGTACTTGCTATCCTAGACCTGTGGCTATAATTCACAAGAGCACACGGTATATCTTCACCAGACGCTGGCCCTAGACAACTTTACCCACCGAGCAACTTGACAGATAAACCATCCAACATCGACCATGGCGACATATTTTCCTTGGGTTCTTCCTGTTCGAGTCGCTCAAGTCATTTTTGCTATTATCGTTCTTGGGTTAACAGCATACTGTTAGTTCACCTCCACCTGACAGCATTCGATCGTCTCTGACGGGTAACAGACATCAGTTGGTATAGCTACAGTGACACTGTGAATTTCATGCTTTTCAACGGCATATGGACAGCTTTCGTTGCCGTGCCTTATCTTGCCGTCGCACCAATGTACTTCCCACGGGTCGCCCATATACTAATCATGGTGGCCGTCGAAGCAGTCACCATGATCTTCTGGTTCGCAGGGTTCATCGCCTTGGGGGTGTACCTACCACCATCAGAATTCTGTCACTGGAGTAGATGTCGGGCACTGCAGGCTGCAACCGTGTTTGGGGCATTTGAATGGTAGGTGGACACCCTTCTCGACGACTGCAATAACACCGACAAGGGTCGGAGGAGTAATTATTGAAACCCGCTCACAATCGCTTGGTAGGGCACTCTTCGTCGCCACCACTGTCGTAGCTACGCTCGAGGCGATGCGATCAAGATCCAACAGTGCGAGTACGAAGCCCGGCCCGTATGCTTCTGGCCATGTCAATGTGTAAACAACGGAAGTGGGGATCGATCAATTCACATCTTAGTGAGGGCCTCATTTGCAGTCGCCAAGACTATCGATGCCACCCAAATCCTTTGGACGGGAGGATTGACGACGATATGAACTATACCGCTCATAGCTGAGAAGTGGAAGGACTGATGAGTCAAGGGCGGCTACGCGGCGTTCATGTGCTGGGATTTGTATATCAGACTATGTAGCAAGATACCCATGTCTTAAATCAACCGAAGCCTTATAATTTCAGCCTTGACTCGTGTTTAAAATCATGGTTGTGGCAAATCCCACAAGCTTGTTTTCAATGACATCAATTGATCAATGAACATAACTTACATGTAAGTTGGTTACACATGCTTAGTTTAGTCATAGCCTGAACACCCATTTGAGCTTCGCCGTATCAATCGCTCTCGTAGCAAAGGTAAACTTAGAATTCTTTATCCGCTAGCCTAGTCCTATGTACGTTTAGCCACATTACAGTGGTTGATCAACTTAAGCTTGGTGTTGACCCACTGAGGGGGGAAGTTTAAAACTGCCTCTATCATCTACATGCACTACTGTGTATGTAGTTGATGCATGTCAGATGTAGGAAGCCTCTTTCGGAAGTGACAGTTTGATCATACCCTCCAAGTACGGGGGCGAAATGTGAGGGATAAGTCTTCGAATTGGCACGCAAGCGTCGCGGGTATCGAAGAAGATGGGAAAGGAAGATAAACTGTCATACGAGGCACTTATCCAGTGGCGTGAGTGTCTGGGAGGGTAAATGACTGCAGCAGAGAGCCCTACCCGCGCCTGAACCTACTCAGAGTAGTAGTGATTGACTATGAGCTACTGTGTAAGTGGTGTAAGTATGAGTAAGTTAGTTAACAAGTTCACTTAGTCAGAGACTTAGTAAAGTAATGTAATCGGTAAGCCAGCCGCCATAGTAAGCCACCCGCCACCCGCGCACGTTAGTCTCACATTCTCTAATATAAAGTAATTTAACTACTAATAATTCCACCAAATATGCCTTAATTATCAAATTATTTGGTAAAGCAAGAAAGCAGAATCTGTCTTACTATAAAAACTATTTAAAAAAGCAAAATTTCTTTTATAAAAGAAGTAATAAATATATTTAATATTTTATATTTAACTCTACGAGAACGCCTGTAAAAAGTTAATATAAAGTTTAATAAATATACTAATTTTATAAAACTAATTTATTTTAAAAAAACAACTTTAAAGAATTAGATTTTTTATTTATAAAATATAAGCTTTATTCTTGGCTGTTATATATTCGGAATATAGTAATAATTTTTCTATAAAATAAAAACTTAAATTTTATAATCTCTATAGATAAAAAATAAATATATAACTTTATTAAATATATTCTAAAATTAAAAAATTAATTTTCTTAAAGATATTATATCTAATATATAAAATATAAAGATCTAAAACTTTTAACTAGATAGTTTAATTATATTAAAGCTACTAAAAAAATATAATATTTTTAATTAAAATATATAAAATTTTAATAAAACTAGTTTTATTATAAAAATAGTAGCTACAGCCTGTATAGTTATATAGTCTAACTATATAAATAAACTATTTTTTATATAGCTAGAAAATTAAAAATAAATAACTTTAATTAAATATATAAATATAGCCGGTATAATATTACTATTATATTTAATTCTTAAAAATAAAGTTTATATAAAAATATAATATTAAGATCTTTTTTTATTTAATTAATATATTAATTTATTACTAAATAGTGTTACGGATAACTCTTAATACCCTAGTAGGCCGCCTATAAGTCTTTTATATCTTTCTTATATAATAGTCGTAATAATTCTAATCTTTTTTATATACAAAATCTTTTTCTTTTATACTAGATTATAAAAGAATAAGAATTAGTTTTCAAATTTACTAAACTGCTATTATTCTATATCTAACTAATCTTTTTTTTTAATAATTCTAATTCTTTTTTTTAGTTATCTATAGAATATAGCATATTATTTTAATAATTATATTAGAATAATAATTCGGAGCTGGAAAGCTTTTTTATTTCTAAAAGATTTTTATTTTTTATAATCTTAGATTTTTTTCCAGAGAATCTTACTGTAGTTAAAAATATTATTAGTTATTTATAGAATTATTAGTATTTATAATATTAAACTATTGAATTATAAAAAGAAATTTAATAAAATAATATTAAACTAATATTAAATTATTAATAGAAATCTTTATTTTCTTTATATAATACTAAAATAGATATTAAAATTAAGAATATTCTATAATTTAAAATTTTTTTAATATTTAAAAATAATAAGAATAGTTTTATAATCTGGATTATAATTTTTAAAAAATATCTGCTAAATTTAATACTAATTATTATAAAATTTTTTAAGTTATAAGCTATATAAATATAATTTATTAATAAAAATAGTATTACTATCTAGATAAATTATTATTTAAATAAAAATAAAATAATAGTTATTTATAGTCTGCTTTTTTAAAATAGATTTTATTTTTAATTTAAAATATTATTATTTTTAAATCCGATGTTATAAGCCAGTTGAAAAAAATCTAATAAAAAAATAATTAAGATCTATATAAGTTTTATATTTATTTTAATACTTTAAAATAATATTTTTCTAGAACTATTAAAAAAAATAAAATTATATTTTTTTATAAAAGTATTTTCTAATTTTAGCTGTTATATATAAGAATATATATATATATATTTTAAAAAATAAAATAAGATAGTATTTCTTATTATTTACTATTAGAATTTATATTTCTAATATTTAAAATAAAAATAAGAATTAAAAATATTAAATATTTTTTAAAAATAATTCTAATTTTATAATAATATTTAATCTTATAATTCTAAA